GGCGGGGAAGGTTCAGCGGAAGAAGAGGACGATGACGGTGTGTAAGCACTTAGTGTAATGTGGGCTATTAACAGGTCATGAACAGGGGACGACTATGTCGACTACGATTCTGATGATGAGCCTCAGACAACGGGGCCAAGGAAGAACTCTGATGCAGATCCTTATGCTGGTGCCTATCGTCTCTGTCTTTCATCGTGTGGCCGAAATTGAAACAGTTCCATTAGGCGTGTTTTTCTCGAAGGACCACCGTCAAGAAATCATTGAAATTGAAGAAGAGCCGGAAATCGTGCTTATTCCCGACTCTAATGAACAAGTGAAGCTCATGACCCAGGGCGAGTGGATGAAAGGCTGCCCACCTCCCTCTCAAGGATCTGGCGGCGAACAGAGCTTCCTCTTTGCGCTTTATTCCAAGTTGAGTGAAGGGAAATGCGCGTGTCCTCACGAATGTGGCTCATCGGTACTCCGGAAGAAAAGCGATTTCTTCGCCATCTTTGTAAGTCCTTCGATTCTGCATACACCCTTTCGTTAACCACGCAGCGTAGACCGAGTTTTCTTCATATATCACGCACCTGCAGAACGTCGTACGAAAGACTTGCCAGCGTTGTCATTCCGAATTTTGCTTTGCATGCGGCGAGCCCAGAAGTGCAAAGACTCATCGCCCTGGGGTGGCCTCAAATGGTGATCCCTTGTTCCACTGTGCGGATATACAAGGCGTCATTCTTGGCGTCGGTTTGTCGATGCTTGAGCAAATGTTCTCTGAGCAATCTCAAGATTCCACCACTGCTCAGGATCATAAGGCTAGAAATAATAAGCGAAGGAAGACCGGAAAGCTGCTCTCCAAGGATCCAGATGATGAGGACGACGACGTGTATTATGCAGGTGTGGCTTCCAGTGGAAAGAGACCGAAAGGCGGAATAGGCTACGCCGGAGACCAGAAAGAAGATGTGCGTGCTATTTTCCTCTTTGACGAGACCCTTTATTTACTTTCGCCTCAGAATTCGGGTCAGATAGAGGCTCAAGCTGTACAAGCCGCGAAAGATCAGAAGATTGGGAAACTCCTGACAGAAATCGGAGTATACCTTCCCGCAATACATCGCGAAGGCGGCGGCCAGGACAGCGATTTTCTTGTACACCCAACCGCATTAGCTCATCTTCGAAGACGGTTCAACTACGTATCCAGTGCACTTCTTAGAAATGATTCTTTGGCAGACATGTCAGAGCGTTCTGTACTGTACTTCAAATTGTTGGAATGGCTGGAGGTATGTATGCGGCAGTACAACTCGATATCTGAAGCTCATCACTATGTGTTGCAGACGATATCCAACCATGAGGCTTTGGCCAGTATGATGGCCATGCCGATTATGACAGTGGCTTCCGTTAAATCTGTCACGACTCGGAAATCTCCCAACAATACACCCATCAGGGAACGAACTATCATTTATGAAGGTAGTGCCGGGCCACGGGAGTTGCTCGAAGCCATCGCCATCCAGGCCCATGCCGCTCTCAAAGCATTGGAGGGGGCTAAAGTTCCGGATGTGCCGCCTGGAGAGCTGACGGAAGAACAGAAACGGATGACCGTCGATACAAAGGGCAAATCCAAGGAATCCTCCGCACCCATCGCCGATGAAAATCAGAAGCTGCTCAATTTTTGTCGACGAATTCTTGGCACGGCAGATGCGATTGATCGCTCGTTGCGTGAGACCAAAGGAGACGATTTCGTTGAGCGGCTTCACGCTTCGCTTCCAAAGATCCTCACCTCTTCTTCAGAGGAAGGCATGCTTGTTGACGGAGGCACAACAGAAGAGAGCGCCACCAAAGCGTACTTGGAATGGGCCACCCGTGTCAGGTTTGAGTACTGCGACTTGACCATCCCGGTAACATCCATGGGAAATGAGACCGAGCCTCAACCACCTCATTATAAATCGTACTACAACAACGAGATCCGAATGCTGGCTCTGTCTGACATACCCAAACGATCTCTCGCCATTGCAAAGGAGGTGAAGATCTGACTCTGTATACTGCCACATTTCGCTGACGATCAAAAGCTTTCTATATTGACAAATAATTTGCCAATAGCATGGAATTCCTCGATATTCCTACGCATCGACGAAACCCGAGTCGATGTGATCAAGGCCCTTATTACGGGCCCAGAAGGAACCCCGTATGTTAGACCGCGTTCGATATGGCACCGAATTTTGATGTCCTTTTTCTGCGTCCAGATATTACAACGGCTGGTAAGTCTCTATCTTCCATGCGAGTTCCAACCTCACAGTGCGACACAGCTATTTATTCGATATATTCTTAGGACCAAGCTACAATCAATCACCCCCCAGTGTTAAATACATGACGGTGAGGATTAGACGGTTTCCCTATTTCGCTCACGCTTATCATCCGGCAGACGAATGGAGGAAAATATCGATTTAACCCTAATCTCTACGCGGTATGTCTGAACGACTCGTAGCTTCTTCTGACTTGAAAGTCCGTTCAATAGGACGGGAAAGTTTGTCTGTCATTGTTGGGAACGTGGTCTGGACCAGGCTGGGTCGCCGGAAGATCGACACTGTTACAGGCGCGTTTCTGGCTCTGGTGGTAGATGGACGACTAATACTCAGCAGGTCCTTATTTCCATTCAATCGATGATCCTCTGCGAAGAACCCTATCTCAATGAGCCAGGTGGGCGTCGAGTGGCAACACACCACAGTCTCATGCATGTATGGAAGGTTTTTATTCCTTTGGAATATTGCTAACTTTGCGAAGACTCTGCCAATGTCCGTCGGATGGTTGTCAAGACAGCGGTAAGCATTTGCACCTATTTTGTTTTCTCCTCCACAAACAGTAATGCGTTTGTAGATGCTCGGTAACTTGCAGAACCCGCCAGAACCATTCGCAGACATCATTCGGACCCATTTTCGGCTCAAGGCACGTTCAATCTCGACGCAACTCGATCAATGGCTCTCGATAGACGACGGTAAATCCACCATCAGCGATGGTGGGGGTTTCTCGGGATTGCAGGTGGACTCCGTTGGGGGAAGTGCCAACGGCTTTGCCGCAGACGTGGGTGAGATGAAACGAGTCTTGAAAGAATTGCAGGCTGGTTTCGGAACGAGCGGTAGATCTTGACGCGTTGTACAAACTAAACACAGGCATTGAGTATTGATGGCATGTGATTTGACGATCTTGCCATAAATCATGCTCTAGCGGTACTTGCTACTCCTTTCCCTCCACCCTTCAGCACACCTCTACGAACACCATCGAGCCCATAATGAGTGACTCAGTTATCCACTCCGTCGCTGCCGGCGCTGCCGGCGTCGTTGCCATGTCTTGCACCTAGTAAACTACTTTGTTTAGGTCCCGTCAATGCACTCAGGCTAACCTATCTGACAAGTCCGTTGATATTTTTATCCACTCGAGCCGCCGTCGAAACGAAGAATGAATCCAAAGTAAATCGCACACCTTTGCCTTGATTCTTCAAAACCTGACAGGGTTCCAGTCTGTGTTTCAGGCTGTTGTAGACATTGTCAAGCGAGAAGGCCCTTTGGGTCTGTACAGCGGCCTAAGCTCAAGTCTGTTAGGTATCGCAGTCACCAACGGGTATGATGTAAAGCTCAGTCCGAATGCTGAAGACTGACAGCTCCAAAGCGTATACTACTACTTCTACGAGCGATCCCGAGAAATGATCCTCAAGTCCCGACGAGGAGGCAAAGGACTCAGTACTCCAGAGTCCATATTGATCGGTGTCATTGCGGGTGAGCCTCTAAATGCACCTTTGGCTATCTTTTTAAACTATTCAAGGGTCTGCAACCACAATCGTCAGCAATCCCATCTGGGTCGTTCAGACTTCGCAAGCTGTGCGCACTCTGAACCAGTCCGATACACGATCTTTGGATCCTTCCCAACCCAAACTCGTAAAAAAGCTAGGGATTTTGGAAACCATCCAAACTATACTCGCAAAGGATGGCATCCAGTTATGGTTATCCTAGTCGACCCTCGTTTTAACGCTCACATATCTGTTCTTCTTAGAGCCTTCTGGCGCGGGATCGGTCCTGCGTTGGTGCTAGTGATCAACCCTGTCCTTCAGTATACTGTGTTTGAACAGCTGAAGAATTTTCTCGTTGCCAGAAGAACAGCGAAACTGAGGGCAGCTGGGGTCGCTACTGCTGTAGCTGTTCTGACCGACTGGGATTTCTTTCTTCTTGGCGCATTATCCAAACTTGGTGGGGGATGTGTTTTTTTTTTGCTCTTCAGCTTGATCTCACGGGTAACGTCTACGCAGTTGCTACGTCTTCAACTTACCCCTACATGTGCGCGTTGCTCTATTCTTCGTGTTGTCCTTACTCAACTTCAAGTCAGTGTTGTGAAAAGCCGCCTACAAGCAGGACACACTCGTGCTCTCAAGTATAAGTCTTCGATTGATGGCCTTTTTGCTATCCTCAAGGAAGAAGGAATCGAGGGTCTATACAAAGGCATCGGCAGCAAACTCGTTCAAAGCGTCTTGACGGCGGCTATCTTGTTTGCGGGCCAACGCCGAATCTATGAGATCACTAAGGTATGAGCGTACTATAAGAGTTTCTCTGATAGATAATGACAACACAAATTTCCCTTCACATCAGGCCATCTCTAGATAGTGGTAGAAACACAACCACAATTTGTTCGGCTGTCAAGTAAAGGTACCTGTACATAGTATAATGTGTTTGTGAAGTAATTCGTTGGATAATTTGGGAATACTGAAAGGTCCAATTTCCGCTCAAGTCTATCAGTCACCGGCACCAACCCTGCTTACTGCTGTCTATTATTCGTATGTGGGAAAAAATCAACTACCGCAGACCCGTGGCAACCTAAGGTATAGAGGCCATACAAACTACCAGACCGATTAGCACTTGGATAAGTTCAGTATTGAGGAGTTTCAATTTTAACGCCACTTTCACCAAATGAGGTGCTTCTTCCCCATCGCTTGGAAAAGATCTGGCAGTATCTATACAGTCCTTTACTTCATTTAGCAACCGACTTTAGCTCAGTTGGAAGTAGCGCAAGACTGTAATGGAAACCTATGGAGCTGCCAGCTCGAACGCGTGATTACATAATATCTTGAGGTCGCCTGTTCGAACCAGGCAAGTCGGATTCTTTTTTCCTGTTCGAACCAGGCAAGTCGGATTCCTTTTTCCTCTACGTTAGGACTTGTTTTTTAGAATATCTTTTATTTTGGGTCACATAAATGACATGGATTTCATGCCTTGGTTGGTGTCCTTTTTTCTTCAGTGAGAACCACCATGGTCATCTGTTTGAGCCAGGCAATTAGGCCCTTTTTGCCACCATATCCATTTTACGCTTCAAGATTTCTGTTCTGCATATGGATTTGTTTGGCCATGGAGTTTGAGAGGCAGTCTCAAAAATTCTTCTTGGGTTGGTGCCTTTTTTGTCTTTTTCTTTTTGCTATCCATATTGTGTATCATCAGGTATTTGTGTCAGTGAGCAAAGCTCAAGTCTTATGTGCACCATGCAAGTACCCAACTTTCTGAACCAGATTTTTGAAAGGACACTTGTGCCCTCCTTAGTATTAAGTCCTCTTTGGGTCTTATTCTATCAAAACAGCAACCGTCTGTATCTGTTCTACAGAAAGTTGCCAAGTGAAGCCACCAAAAATACCTAATAAGTACTAGGAGGCCTGCTGTGCAGCAGGGTCCACATTTTTTTTGTTGCCTGGGCATACAGATAATGTATGGTTCTGTTATTACATGGTGGCTTTCAAGAGCACCGTCGCATCATGATTTGCATCGGACTCAGAGCATCTTGAACTGTAAAGACTGAACGGTCTCAATCAAGTTTAAAAGTGGGTCGGAGAAATGTACCAGAAGGTCGCATCTCCATTGGATCTTCCGGGAAGGCTCGAAATTCTGTGGGGATAGAAATGTGATATCATAAATCTGCTGCAGCATCGAGGACGCGAAATTAAGTGAAGTGCAGCTCAGTTCGCGCAGGCACTACACTTAATTCGGGTATGGATCTAGTCATCAACAACAATCGTTCTTAACAGAACTATGATCTTATTAAGAGACGTCGTCAGCACAGACCTCGCTTGCATAATAGGTATGGAAGATGAGTAATGGTCGATTTCAATCACGTTGAAAATCTGTCAGATAGTCATCAACAGCTGTTCACACGCTGGGAAAGAATGAATCCACGAACCATAGCTTGTCCTCTGACGTTTTGGGTTGAATACTGAGCTCTTTCACCCAGTCCCACTTGCAGTCCGGGCGCGATTCGCGGCATGGTACTGAATGGGGGCAATATACTGTGAGAAAAGCAGAAATAAGGCCATTCGGACGACGGCGCACCCCATTCTTGAATTTGATCATCGAGAGACGAGGCGCAGACGATGATCGAGTCCTTGTTCTGGGGCGAGCTGAGGAACAGAGAGGAGCCGCACTCCACGCAGAAGGAGCGAGTGATGGTACGGCCGCTGGTTGTGTCGCTGTCTTGGTATTCGCGGATGTACTCCCGGCCAGAGGCTACGCTGACTTTCTGGAAGAGCAAGTTATTGGCCCGGAAACACAAATAGAGGGCAAAAGACAAGAAGTACACGTACATCGGGACTGAAAAATGTATTCGCCATGAATGCGGAGCCGCTGAATTTCTTGCAGTTGATACAATGGCAGACGGCGAATGAGAAGGGTTCTCCGGAGGTGGTGAAGCGTATCTTGTGGCACAGGCAGGATCCATTGCGCTCCATTGTGGGTTGGCGAGGGTAATATCGAGCACAGAGAGTCTCCAGATGGGAAGAAGCAGGGTCAGCGCTGATTAAGGCCTTGCACTCTCCAAACAAGCACATATTTTATTATCTGACCAGTATAGCCAGAATTCCACATAATTTTGACATAGATTTTTTAAGAACATAAACCTTTTTTATTGTGCGCATCCAAACATCTGCAATCAGCCTTCTCAATGAGTCGCAAAACTCTCAACGCTGTGGCCTTTATCTCTCCTCAAAACCACCCGATTCTCATCCGCACATTTACTAAACAAGACGACCATGCCATCAATACCATTACATTGCACACACCAGTCTGGATGTGATAGAAGAGCGAGGTTGAAGGTTCTTCTTCTTTAAGCTCCTCCTTCTCATCCTTCAACCAGTGGCGGCCGGGGGAAAGTCGACCGAATGCTACCTGGGGCTATTGTATGCTATGGAGGATGTTGCTGTATACGGGTACATCACACCTTTGAAAGTCAAGATTGTGATTGCGTTGGCTCTGTCAGATTCCGTGGTCCGAGACGTGGAAGTCAACATGGTAAGCATATCATATCTTGCTTGGTATCTCAAATCCTCAAACTGCTTTAGATCTTTAAGGCTCTCCATATGGCTTATTACTCTGCGATATCCAACCCATTCCTAAAACTAGACCCCCTACAGACACCACCAACGATCACTCTCCATACCTCCTTGTTGGCCGTTCAAACTGGAAAAACTTCCGACGGCGCATTGACGAAATCAGCAGAGTCGTTGCCAGTCCCTCGAATACGGCAAGCGCTTGATACGCCTTGATATGCCTGGTTTTCCCCATCGCAGAACATGTTTAATCATATTGGTGCTGTGGTGGGCCGTTTCGGCGAATAAAACCTATATCGACCATACCCTCCTATTGACTCAGTTGTCACGAGCTCTCCGCATCTGAGACAGATACGGGGTAGATAGCTATTACTTGTACTTATACATACCACCGAATCTTGCGTCTTCCAGTTCCGACAACCCTTCGACGGCCTCTCGTGCCATTACCCTGACTACCATATCTCCGTCGGTGGCGGCTACGTACGACAAGGTCGTCCTGACTCGCTTCAGCAAATGGTTTGAAAGCTCTGTGTACGAAGAGTCGTATAGTTGTCTTGTGGTTTCGCGTATCAGGAGTGTAAGAAAGTGCAATGCTGCCCGTCGGAAAGGCGGTAGTTTTGAATCCACTGAAGTGGGATTACTGTCTTCTGACGGAATGGACATCATCCCAATTTGTAGCAAATCGATCATGGCTTCAGAGAGGTCAGCGACATATGGTACCAAGGCCAGCGCGCAGGTGTTCTCGCATTCAGCCAGTAAAGAAATGGCCGACGTTCGGAGAGTGGTAGGGACATGTGACAATCCAACGACATGAAATAGTGGAGGTACCAGTATATCGACTTGGAATTGTTAGCTTGTGACTTGTCGTGAACAAAGAAAAACTCACTGTACGAAGGTAGAGCATCACCACACCGTTTGATTACAGACGCTAGTGCTTCCCCAATTCTAATGCGTATATCCATGTCATGCTGCGTCATATTGGTAGCCCCGAGCCCGTCCAGTCCTTGTCCATATTCTTTCACCAGCCCTCGTAATACGTCCTTGCCATATGTGTCCACCATGCCAGCGAGACCCTGCACAGCATTGAGGAACATGTATGAATCGTCGTCCTGTACGGACTGGAGAAATATCGACAAGATGGCCGGAAGCAACGCCGGGTCTGACAGCTGGGCTCCTTGGGACGTCTGGGGACTAACCAGTTGCCGAAGCAGTAGTAGCCCATGAGCTCTGACAGGCAAGATAGGATCTTGGAGGAGTTTTAAAGCTTTCTGATAGATCTCTTGCGTGCTGTCCTCCTCGCGGGTACTATTCCGTGGGGAAGAAGTAGATGCCAAGCGAGCAGTCATGACCATTCTCGCTTCCCGCGCCAATGGTTGCACGGAGGGCGAACCAGTCAAGGACAGCGGTTCCAACAGAGAAAATATCTCGTTGAGGACTGGTTCAGTCTTCGCAGACAGGTCCTCATTGGCTGAATCGGTCAGGTTAAATGAACCCTGGCAGTAAAGAGTCTAACCTTCAAGAACGGCCAGTAGCAGATTGACTGAAGTCTCAGTTATTTCGTCATCGGGAGTGATGATATCCGCGCCGGGTGTGTCATCATCGCTATCGCCATCTTCAAAATCATCATCATCCAGTTGGTAGGAAGGGGTGTTGCCGCGTTTCTCTTTCTGGGGGCTTGTACCGGCGGGTTCTAGAGCATGGCTGACGAAGGATAGAATGTGGGCCGGTTTCCCGAGAATGGTAGAGGCTCCGTCTGAAAGCCAGGCCTGCATTTGAACGACCAGTTGCAGATAGAGCAGTGTCCTGGACAGGATGAGGAAGTAGTCGACACTCGAGGCAAGACTGACCGCATAGGATCGCCTTCCACCTGGTGCTTGGAGTCCCGATACGATTCCAACAGTCTCACAAATAGATCAGATGAGATATCGGTGCGCTGAATGGATTTGAGAAAATTAACAAAATGAACAGGATCTGGGTATAGATCCAAGATGTTCGAATCGAGGTCGATATCGTCATCCGCGGGAGTAAGTAGCGACAAAGGAGCCGTTTTTTCAGCCCTGAAACTTGGTGAATGTATGGCTGGAAGGGCTGCTTCGGTTGCTCACTCTTCCAGGCGAGTGATCTGGCCATCCAGATCTACACGCCAGTACACGCCTTGACCGTCGATCACGGACGTCAAAACAACAAGGGCTTCCGCTACCCCAATCACCCTGCCCCATGTCCCAAGCAGGCCTCGCAGCATCTCTTTCAGGCTTGGATCGGACGTCTTGACTCGATCCAGGTGATACAATAGTCCGTACAATGCCGATATGATAGGTGTTAGGAGGGCAGATATGAGACTGGGGGAGGGATCGGAATTGGTGATGAGCAGCATAATAGTAGATAAGGCTGCTCGTGGCGGCCACGCTGAGTTTATAGAGAGGAATGGCGGATGTAAAATCGAAAGCACGGCGTGAGACGCAGGTGTTGCCAACATTCGAGATAAAGAAAATGCTGCCGCCCGTCTGTATGCTAGAGGCGCACGATCCGATAACAACTCGAGAACACTTGGCGTGATGGTCGAAAAATAAACCTTGATAATTGTGAATTCGAGTGCTGCTTGAGCTGGAAAGTCTCTCACCTCCAGGGACATGCCGGCAGGCGCAGTCGTCAGTACACGAGCAACATGTTCAAGCTTCTCCAACTGCACTTCATCGGCGTCCTCTCCAAACACAGCAGCACACAATCCACGGATACCTTCAGGTCGTAATAGTTGCTTACTTAGAAGGGATGCACAAGATTTATGAACGTGGGGCGGGCAGGGCTTTGTCGACAGCACAGCACCCAGAGCGGTGATGGTCTCAGACGGGGGTGAACTGCAGAAAATGAATGACGCTATTTACAGCAAAAGTGGCACAGACGCACACGCCGAGAAGACGAATTGTGGGCGGACGTATGGCGTCCGGTGTGGTATCAAATGCGAGAGACTTGGGGAGCCAACCGATGGCAATGCATGGTCTTAGCAGCTGAGCCATATGACGGTTCAACAGGGTCGTGGTAATGGGTGTAGGCAAGTCGCTGCGGGGAATCAAGCCTAATAGCCGAGACAACATGGAACACAAGAGCTTGTAATCCTCTGGCGCGGTTGTGAGATCGATTATCTGTGGCCGACTAGATTTGCTCGGCCAAGCCAACATTGCTCGCGAAAGCAAAACATCTACCCCCCATTTGAACACAATTGCGACCAAGGTGCGTAACTCTGCCAGATCCCGGACACCAATAGCGGCATCCTCACTGACCAAAATGTATTGTACCTTGTCCAGGACGTTTAGAGCCTCGGTCGCTGTTGTCAACTCGAGGTCCTGAAGTGTTTGTGAATCATCCAAAGCGGTAGTGGATCCTAGACACGCATAATACCGCGTCAACCGAGACTGCAACACGGACTTGAGCTCCTGTGATGTGTTCTTTGTGGCAGATTCTACAATACACAAGCCGGCCGCAAGAAGCTGTTGGATGTTGCTCATGGATTACCACAACTCGAAACACAGCTTGAACTTGAATTTATGATCGGAATCACGTGCAAACTCTCCGGAAAAAAATGGCAAAGATAAATCGATTCCAAGCTTCAGGGTGGCGGGAAAATTCGAAAATTTTGGAGAAAAGGAGCAGTCACAAAGAAAAGCAGTTTCAAATGGGAAAAAGAATGACCGCCGCAGGTCTCGAACCTGCAATCTCCTGATCACGTGGGTGACCGATTACACATCGTTACATAAGCCAAGTCGTAGTCAGACGCGATGCCATTTCGCCAGGCGGCCATTATAAACTATTTCATAATGCATATATCATGAGCAGAGGGCCCAGCGTCCTTGAGTTCCAAACACTTTGTCTGCACTCTTTAAACACATCCTCACAGCGCGTCCAGGCGCTTTTACCTGGGTCGACACGTTCGCCGCCGTACTATACCATTTTCGTAGCAGCTGTTCTAAATGGATAGAGCTATGTACTAGTACAGGTTCCACGAAGTAGAACTTAAGGATTGATTGACAAACTACCGACGCCATCTGCGGCATCGTCGACATTCCCCTCGATGAGTTTGGTGATCTGCAAGGAAAATGAACGTCAGTGGGGTTTAGCTTTCGAGCTCGCACAAACCTTTCCGATGGCTATTGTTCGGCCTATAACCTGTCAGCGCACGAGGAGTTCATAGACATAGCTTAACATACCTTCGTCTCGCAGCGTAAAGCGGCCCAACTGTGGATAGTCTGCAAACCGCTCAACACATACTGGTGCAGCGGTCTCGATCAGGGCCACGATCTTCTGTCCTCTCTTTGCGAATTGGGGCGGTTTTTTGGACTTGCGCCCAGTCGCCTTATCGAAGTAGTGTAAAAGAGCCTGAGCAAGAAATGAGAAGGTCTGCATGCAACATAAAAAGAAATGCGTACTGGGAGCGTCACTTCCTCCGCCAGAGTATGGATGTGCATGACCGCAGAGTAGCCAGCGCAGATGATGCTCTTGTGTTCCAAGATAGCAAGCTCGGCTTGGAATTGGCGGACAGCATGGATGGGCTTATGCGGACTGGTAAGCATGAACCCAGGACTGATGTCTTCGTCCTCCACACCCCGCAACCGAATGCGCACGTTGTCGCCGCAAAGAGCAGAGTTGACCTCTTCTTCCATTTCGTTGTAGATCGCTGCAACTTCAACGGGGTCCTTGTTTGGCATGAGAATGAGAGAGTCCCCTTTGCGCATGTGGCCGGATTCGACTTTGCCTACGACGATGGTACCCATGTCTTTGTACTTTTCAGCAACGGGCATCATGAGAGGAGCATTGATTTTGCGGTCGACCATGGGCATGTGGTCGATGTGTTCAAGGAACGAGGTGCCTCTAAAACAATGAGGACAGAGATGAAGGAAGGACAAGCAACTCACGTCCACCACGGACAAACGGTCTTGCTCACAGGTCCTTGAGGTTGGCCCCGGTATATGCAGAGACAGGAATGAATGTGACATCGGTTTTGGGATTGAAACCTGCCGCCCGGACGAAGGGTATCAGTTTGTCTCTGATCTCTTCAAACCGTGCTTTTTCCCAGTTGACCGTTAGATCGTCCATTTTATTGATGACAATAACGATCTTGGCAACTCCAGCAGTCTTTACCAACATGATGTGCTCACGGGTCTGACCGCCTCGTTCGAAACCCGTCTCGAACTCGCCCTTCCGGGCAGAGATGACGAGGATCGCGACGTCGGCCTGGGCGGCACCCGAGATCATGGACGGCACAAACGTCTTGTGCCCCGGGGCATCCAAAATTGTGTATCGGCGGAAGGGCGTCTCAAAGTATGCACGGCCGACCTCGACCGTCTTTCCTTTCAAGCGCTCCTGCGGGGTTGAGTCGAGAGCCCAACTCAGATACCATGTCTCGCGACCGGCCTCTTTGGCTTCGCGTTCGTATTTCTCCATTGTCCGTTTGTCCACCGTGCCCGTGAGGTAAAGCAAGTTGCCGCCCATGGTGCTTTTGCCCGCATCGACATGGCCGATGAATACGATGTTGAGATGCTCCTTGACTGTTGGGTACGGTCAAATGGGCGGATCGGATGACATCCATGACACATACCATCGCCGTACAGATCTTCAAGAACGGCATCGTCTGCGACAGTGCGAACCTCCTGGGCGATGGCGTTCGTGTCTGTCTTTGCCTTTTCTGTGGTGAACGTCTTGGACGATGGTGCGGATGGCGCTGGACGGGTATTGATAGCTGCTGGGGGTGGGGTAGCAGTAGCGGGGGCGGGGACCGGAGCAGGGGCTGGAGTGGCAACAGGAGCGGCGGGCGGAGGGGCAGGCTTTGTTCCGCCAATGTTGAGAGAAATTGTGGGAGGCGGCCGGGGTGCCTCTGTTTGCTCTGGACGCTCCAGCGGCTCTGGTTGCGGCGGGGGTGGCTGAGGCGCGACGAAGCCTCTGCCTGGAATGAATTCGAAAGCGCCTGCGTTGAGCTTGCTCATGGGAGAAGAAGAAGAGGATTGGAGTGACGCGGAGCCGGGTGGTGTGCAAAGAGTGTAGTGACAATCAGCGCCGACCTGTGTCGGCTCTGCGATGACTTGGGACTTACTTGAGGCCGACTACAGCCTCGGGTGACTGATAGTCTGACTTTGTTTGCATCACGAGACCACCGCCGCGACACCATGGCCGCTCCGTCCCACCACTATCTCGCCGTCCTCAAGGCCTCCTACGACTACGACCCCGAACCCGGCGCAGAGGACGAAATCCCCATCAAGGAGAACCAGATCCTGTTCCTCAAGGAGCGGGTCGACCAGGAGTAGCTATCTCGCTTTCCAATGCCCCACCATCTCACCCGTGTCGCAGCTGGTGGAAGGTCAAGGTCAAGGGCGACTCTCAGGAGGAGGACAGCCCCGTTGGCCTGGTCCCTGCTGCATACGTCGAGCCCGTGCGTTTACCCCCATCACCCGGTGTCATCATTGACTGACTGTGCGTAGGCCGACCACACCTTTGTCGTAAAGGCGCTCTACGACTACGAGGCAAATGCACCCGGAGAGCTTACCATCTCCGAAGACCAGGTTCTCCTTGTATTTGACACTGAGGAGGACTGGCTTCTGGTGCAGACAGATGAGGACGGGGGAAAGGCAGGTTTCGTCCCCGCAAACTATGTCGAGGCCACGTCTGGAGAAGATGAACCATCCTCGCCACAGATTGTTGTTCCGCCTTCGGTGCGTTCACCTTTCGCTGTTCTGGTACTTTCTCAAAACCTTTTATCAGCCCCCACGGCCGTCCAGCAGCTATGTAGACCCAGCCGTCAGGGTCGCCTCCTCGAAGATCAAAGCCGATGACATCAAGACCTGGTCTGTGTCTGAGGTAGACAAGAAGGGCAAGAAGAAGAAGGGTACTCTGGGGGTCGGCAATGGCGCCGTGTTCTTCGCGAGCGAGTCTGATAAGGTGCTTTTTGTTTCCCCACCTATACCATTCGGGAACTCAGCTCCCCATAGACTCCCGTACAGAAATGGCAGACAACTCATATCGAAAACATCAATATCGAAAAGTCTAAGCATGTTCACATCGACGTCGGTGGCCCTAATCCCATCAACCTCCACTTCAGCGTGGGGTCCAAAGACAGCGCTGACGCCATTGTGACCAAGCTTGAATCCTCCAAACAGCTGTCTGCCCCTTCCCCCGCTAGCTCACCTCAACCAGATGAACCCTCACGATCAGAAACCCCCCGCGAGGCTACGCCGCCGAAAGAAACCAAGAAAGCCACTGTACATTTCTCTCCCGAATCTCCTACCGTGATTCCGGTCTCCGATGAAGAGGAAGAGCCGCAAACGGCTGAAGGAGATGCAGAGGAGGAGGGCGATATGGTCACAGCTTTGTATGACTTTACTGCCGATGGCGCAGATGAACTCTCTGTTGCCGAAGGCGAGCGTCTTGTCATATTGGAGAGAGATGGCGATGAGTGGTGGAAGTGTCGTAATGACAAGGGTCAGCAAGGGGTTGTTCCGGCGTCATATCTCGAAGTATGTCCCCGTCTCGCCGTTTTCACCAGGCTGGAAACTGATTTACTTTGTAGTCAGCAGGTGGTTCTGCACATGCGGCTCAGGAAGACCCGGAACTGGAGCCCGAACCTGAACCTGAACCAGTACAGGAGGAGGAAGTGGATGACGGTCAGGCTACCCGGGAAGCTGAAGAGCGTGCTGAGGCTCTTCGCCGGGAGAAGGCAAAGGAGAAGGAACGTGCTGAGAAAGAGCGTAAAAAGCTGGAGGCCCAGCAGCGGGCCAAGGCAGCTGCCGCGACTGCTGAGCTCGAGCGGAAGAAGCGCAAAGAGGCAGCGGCAGCAGCAGCAGCGCGGGCAGAAGCCTCGTCGCCTCCCCCTGCTCCGTACGCGTCCCTTCAACCTCAATTCTGCTCTTTTTACTAACCTCTAGCAGGCGCCAGCCGGAACCGAAGAAGACAGAGGGAAGCAAGACAAGCTCAAGCAATCGAACCTCACTCGATCCCGCTGCTCGTAAGTACACGGCTGCAGAAACGTTGTGATGCTACTAAGGATACTTTTCAAGGTCCTCCTCCAGACAGGGTGCGCGTTTGGCATGACCGGAGTGGACAGTTCCGTGTCGATGCCGCTTTCCTCGGATTCCACAACGGCAAACTAAGACTCCACAAAACTAACGGCGTCATCGTAGAGGTTCCAGCTGAGAAGATGTCCATCGAAGACATGCGCTACGTGGAGAAAGCGACGAGCAAGAAGGCCAGATCGGCACCGACACGGAAAGTCTCCGACGATGATTTACCCCTCGCCATCCATCCTACGGTGGCTGTCAAGCGGGCTTCGGCGACACCCAAGAAAGGCCCTACTATCGATTGGTTTGACTTCTTCCTTACAGCCGGCTGCGATTTGGATGATTGTACTCGCTACGCGGTCTCTTTCGAACGGGACAAGATTGATGAATCCATCTTGCTCGATATCACCGATGCCACCATGCGTTCCTTGGGGCTCCGCGAGGGCGATATCATTCGTGTCACCAAAGCCATTGACAAGCGGCGGCCCCAAGAAAAGAAGAACGGCGCTGGCGAGCAGGCTGAAGAAACTGGTGCGCCCACCAAGCCTCCTCCCAATCTCTTCGCCGGTCCTGGCGGAGCTTTGAAGAATCCACGACGTGGACGACCACAACCCAGCAAGAGTCTTCCCCCTTCTGTGGACCTTCAGGCCATATCCACCGTTTCCGACCAAATCCAGCGAACCAGTTCACCGCAAATCCTTACTCCGACGACTGGAAAACTGTCTTCGACACCTGTTCAGCCACCGCCGCGGTCC